AATTATGCCTCGGGTTTTGGAACTTTAAGTATTGCAGTGCTACTTCTGATCACTAGGTGGCATTTGTATACATTACCCTTTAATGGACACATATCAGACTTTAATGGAATGCATGAATGTGTTTATTGCTCACATATATAGCACAAAATAGTTTGATGAATTGGTGATCTATCAATTATGTAAAGTGTTGCCATTGTTACTATATTATGTACTTCTTTATGTGTTTGTATTGCTACATCAGATGCATATTACTTTGTAACATTATGCATTTGTAATCCACTATCAATATAATTAATGCATGTGTTTTGTATATTTCTATACTTGGCTTTAATACACAATTTTTTGTGGTTTTGCAAAGGTATGTATCTTGAGATTATAGAAACCTATGTAGAGGAGTTATATGATGAAGGGAAAAATGCATACAGTGGATATTCAACTACAACTCCTTGGTCATACAGACAGCAACTAACACCTTTGGCATGTATTGCCATGTGCTTAATATACTTTATTTTAAATTAATTGCAGTTAATCAGAATTTTGGGCAATTGGCTGCTTGTTTGAATTTCATAATTACAAAGCGCCATATGAACATATCGCAAAATAAACGAAATGGACAACGAACAAACAATTTTGTTTGTTTTGTGATATGGGTTCTGTCCATGGCAATAAGTTGAAAACCAAATTGCAAATTTTAGATTAAAATAGTCTAGTAGAAAATATTTTCCATCCAGTCTAGTTTTTTGCCAAGTTTGCTGTTATGATAATTTTTCCCAAGTCAACATTCTTTTCATAATAGTTACTGTTTAGTGATTAGACCCACTGATATATATATATATATATATATATATATATATATATATATATATATATATATATATTACATTGTGGTGCAAAATGATACCTCCCATGTACTGGCTAGCAAATTCTCACCCAACGTAAGTACAGGAAAGACAGGCATGGCTTTTTTGGATAAACAGCTGCTTAGTTTCTGGAGAGTTATGACCTTGTCAATATAACTCTTTCTGCAGTTCAGCCCGGAACATGCTACCAAATTCACTGTCAAGTGTACGTGGTGTTGACAGAAGGTCGCTGTCTCTCTGCGGTATAGTGCAAAGATTTTAGTAATGTTTACTAGTGTGACAGTTGCAGACAACTGCTATCCTTTTAAACTGCACAAGTAACATTGTTTTACATATATGTTGAGAGGCTGTTGAAATGTCTGTTCATTAATAGTACCAAGGTGTGGCCGGCTTTGAAGTGTGCAATCCTAATAAAATTAGCCATTAACGCAATGTTTGGAATCAGCTTGTTATTTTAATGTCTTTAACATTGATATAGCGATAATAACAATAATAACATGACATAGAGGTTTCTTTTAAGTTAAAAATCGAGTGAAGTGCAAAAATGTACAATTATCCAAAAATTCATCTTCTTGTGAACTCATAACGTCTCTCATTTTTGTCAATATAAACACCGAAGACTTAAAGGAAATGAAATCAATTAAATCAAGCTAAATTTGAGTGGAAATGTATCTATTGTTAACAACTTTGCAAGTTTGATTTAGGTAAGTTGGGCAATTTGGAGGAAAATTCTGAAATGTTCAAATCCCAGCAGGGTCAACTTCATCCTTCTGAGGTCGATACAATGAGTACCATCAATTGGGTAATAATAATAAAATCTATTACTATTCAGCTGCCGGTTAATTCGGACAACTGTGCATTCAGCTAAGGGAAAGGAAGGAACTCAATAAGGCAAATAGGGCTCTGCAGATCCCGCTTGATATTTTCTTTGCCCTCTTTCTACCACCGTCCATTGAGTGGAGAAGAACAAGAGTTTGACAAGTCCACTGCACTCCACCACACATCACAGTGTTCTTACGTCTCATCATACACGAGGAAAGAGGACTGAGCTTTCCCGGTTTCAATCCTTGTTATTGGGTGTCTTCACCCCTCTCCATTTTTAATGATTAATTTATGTTTACTACCGTGCTTCCCCGAAAATAAGACATCCTCCAAAAATAAGCCCTACCCTGAAAATAAGCCCTAGCCGTTCGCTAATCTATGTTCAAACATAGATTTGCAGAATTCCATTCACTAACGCTAGTAAGCTTATGTATGTTTGGGGAAGATTCCTCGAACATAGATACGCAAGATTCTATTCACGAGTGAACTAATCTATGTATGGGGAGGTTTCCCCAAACATAGATTTGCGGTATTCTGTTAGCGAGTGAGCTAATCTATGTTTGGGAAAGTTTCCCCGAACATAGATTTGCAGGATTCCATGCCCTAGTGAATTGGTCTATGTTCGGGGGAATTCCCCCGAACATAGACCAACATTCTAGAACACATTTTCCCCGGAAAAAGACCTCCACTGAAAATAAGCCCTACTGGGTTTTTCGGGGGGGGGGAGAAATTAATATAAGACCCAGTCTTATTTTCAGGGTATAAGGCCAGAGGCATATCTAGGTTATTTGGCACCCAGAACGACACTATTAGGGTTATTTACTAAAGTGAGGATTCAGAATGGATTTAAAGAGAATTTAAAATTAAGGACAGAGTAGGGAAACCGAACACATAGCTGACTTACAGGATTTTTCCAGTTTGTATATTTTGAATGTATATATGAAATTTACTTGGAATTCACCTTAAATTATTACTTTAGTGAATAACCCACAGCCCCAACTTTTTTTTGTCTGTAGCTCAGCATCCGTCTTCATCTTATCTGTTGATCTTCCATGTGTGTATCTCCAAATCCCCACTTTTAGCCCTGCAAGTCTCTTAACTCACTTTTGTGTCTCTTAAACTCCCTTTACTACCTTATATCTCTTACCCTCCCTTACCTCTTCTCTGTCCATTAACACTCATTTCATGTCTCTTTTTTTCCCTTCTATGTATTGTATACTCCTATTGTCCCTCTAATCCATCCTTTGCGCCTCTCGTGTCTTACCCCCATTTGTGTCTCTTGCCCCCTTTTTGTGTTTAAATTTTCCTTTCAGCCCTTTTGTGTTTTATCCCCCTTTGCCCCTCTTCTTTCCCTTATGCCTTTTTTGTTGAGTTTTACAATCTTCTCCCATTATCCACTATCCAGAGGTAGGCAGCCTTCAACACTCTAGTCTAGATGTTTTGGACTACATTTCCCATGATGCTTTGCCAACATTATAGCTGTAAGAGTGGCAGATGTAGTCCATAACATCTTGAATGCCTACTGATGCCTATGCCTGTGTTTATACTTTCTGACATGAGTTTCTCACAGCATGCAGTTAATGTTATGTCCATGTGCACCATCCAGTCACAGCATACTGTAAGCTGCTCCTCTCAAGCCTGGTAAAGGATAAAGAAGAATGGCTACAGAGTGCCTGGAGGGAGGGTGGACTTCTGTTCACCCCCATCCCGTCTGGAACAAAGGAATACCCCAACATCCCAGTTGGTACAATACTGCCATCCTGCTGGCATGTTTGTTTATTTTTTTATTTTTTTGGTATCTGCTATTCTGATAACATACATTTTTTAACAAATCCTGATCTTTTCAACCCCACTTTAGTAACAAATCAGATCATTTTGGTTAGACTTAAACTGGCTCTCATGTTTGTTTCTTCTTCCTGTTTGCAAATATAATGAACTGGATAGAATTGTAGCAACCCAAACATACTAAAATGTATTCACCTACATATTTGGCCTTTTGTAAATAATCTTCTATAAGTCCTGACTTTGCTAACATATAAAATTCCAAAGAAGAAACAGAGGTAAGCATGAACTAATAAGGTTTTGACAGTAAAACCATCAAAATGACCTTGTAATGTCAGTATTTTATGTTCTCCAAGTTACGACGGATGGGGTTTTCATCATAAGTGGAAATCTCTCTTTATCTGCGATTTTCTGAGTACAGATATTGACATCTGCAGTTCTCCTGTCAGACTGTGTCTCAGCTACATACCACAGACAGTGGGGAAGGAATTATCCGTAATCTTAGTGCTGGATATTATTTAATAACATTTTATAAATTAATAAATGGATTATAAAATAAGATTATAAAATAAGATGTATAAAACAACTCAAGAATTCTTAGTTCCAAAAATGAGCATAGTTTTTATTTTATATTTAAATTTTTTTTAATATTTAGTTTATCAGTAATACTCAAGCAAGGCTACATGCATCCATGTTATACGCAAAGAGATAATAATTGATGTTTTAGCCACTGGTTGAGTATGATGAGATTTGTGGTCCAAAAGACATCAAGGGCTGCTGTTCCCAGGCTGCTAAACTCTGCGTTCATTTAAGTAGATGACTGGAGGCACCAATCCTTGAATTATGTTTATTTATGGAGGCTGAGATATGTGCATGCAGAAGAATTACTTACTGATCATTTGTGCGCTATATGGCAACCATATGATGTGATCTATTTTCGAAGCAGCATGAATACATACAGATATATGATGCAGTAAGATGTTCTCCTCTGTATTATTTGATTATCTAATAAAATGTCTTGCAGAACCCGCTGAATCTCCATCTTATGGAGAATCATGTTTCATTTTAGCTGTTATATATGGACACATTTCCCATCTGGGGATCTGTAAAATCATATTACATTTGTGAAAGAGACTCTGTCATAAAAACACAGTCTTGCTTTATGTATTTCTATTATCTTCGTAGGACATTTTCCTAGCTAAACGGTCGGATCAGATATGTAGGTCACCTGTTCTGTCTAAAAAGGTATCTAATTGCCTCACTACACTTCCTGTTTATGAGTAACCATAAGTCATGTGACCAAAAAGGGATCTCTGATAGGTTGATAGGCACATTTGGACAAAAAAAAGGAGCTCTTCCAACCTGAAGCTTGGCTGGTTTGCTGTGGTTCAGATAATCCTGTAATGAACAACAGTGTATGCAGGCCTTAAGTGCTGTGATATGCATAGTTTTAAAACTAACCATTTGAAGACAGTTTGAAATAGATCAAGGGAGCTGTGCTCAAAATCTATTTGTGGCAAAAAGCTACTGCAAGGAGTTGTTACCGGCCTCCCATCTATCTCGATTTTCGCGGGACTATACCCTAAAATAGGGACTGTCCCAGGGAAATCAAGACAGGTGGGAGTCCGGGAACAACTCCTTGCAGTAGCTTTTTGTTGCAAAGAGACTTTGAGCACAGTCTCCTTGATCTATTTCAACTGCCTCAGGCTTTTTTCCCAAAAAGTGTTGGTTGAGTGCATCATTAGAGACTCGTGCACTGCTCTATCGGCACTGAGACTATGCAGAGAGTTCTCTCTGGTCTGCCCTACATGAGGCCAGTCTGTGTGATTGACAAGCAGCCTGTACGCATTCACACCAGGCTGACATATCTATTCTTACCTTCTTTACTGGTGGGTTCACACGCTTTGGGCAGTGCAAGTGACACAGTTTGCATCACTGGCCTGCTCCCTTTTACTCCACCTACTGGCATCCCACTTGACAGAACGCCAGTTTCAGATGGTATGCTGTACTGTTTAAGGTGCTTAGAGTGCACTCTTAAAGCAGCTAGAAGCTTTTGTCGAGTTTAACAAGTGGCTATCATAATTATTTTTGTTATTTTTTAGTTATTGGCAAGTTGTTTCTTGAGACAGTCTATTAGGAAATGTTCATCAAACACTGCATGCAGGCTAATATTCCCAACCAAGTGAATAGCAATTCAGAGACTGGCCAAGTGATCTCATGAATGACATCATGGTCACTAGCAGAGGATTTGAACCCTGGAACGTGTGTGTGTACGTGTACATACATGTCTTTTTACAATAGTGTATTATTTAATTTTTTTGTTTGAACAGGAAACAAAAATAGTTTGCTCTTCTTTTATTTGCATACGATGCCGGACTACACAGCACGAGCTTTTCTTCTCTCTATCTCATTCTTAGGATAATTGTCCCTCTTGGATTACAGTTTGGGAATCTGCATTCCCAAGCACGCAGATAATTCATTTTAGATAGACATGAGAAATGTATCTGAGAATACAGTTTATGTTTAAAAGGAAAAAAAAAACAATTCTATTTGCATGACGTGTTTAATTGGGAAGGAGTTAATTCAATTAAGCAATATTAGGAAATGTAATGAGCAAGCCAGTTATACATTGAAACAGCTTCCGTGTTTTGTTCAATAAATGCACACAATGAGCCGCATAACTATAAATGCACTTATTGTGCTATATTTACTATAATCCTACAATAGACATGTCAGTGTTTTCAATAGTCTGTTCTGGAGAGTGTCCATTAATTCTGCACTTCACGTCAGAAGGGACATTTACCTCTGTATTCCAAAGAGAAAAAAAACTCAACAATGCCCACTAATGGAACAAAAGTTGCCAATGTCATTTTGCTTTAGAAAAAAAATATTTATATCTTACTTCAGAACTAGAATTGTTTTGATACGGCTAAGCCCTCTTTTCTTAAGCAAAAATACAGCTACTCCTAAAGCATTGGAATAAAACACATGAAATGCAATTAGAAAGTTTAAATAACCCTGTATCGGGTCTCTGTGAAACAAAACCCCCAAAAAACAAACCATGAGCAGGGTTCCTTAGGAATTCCCCAAATCTGTTGGTGAATATCACTCCAACAAAATCAGGCAAATGAAGTAGGAGGTAGTGAAACCAGGTAGAGACCTTTTGAACTTTTGAATTACCTCAAGGTAATGGGGAGGGGGAGAAGAAATATAGAATACTACTAATTAAGTTAATTAATTTGTTATACCTTCTTCCCCCTCCGGTTCATTGAGTGGAGCAGTAGAAGACTGTTTGTGGCACTGAGAGAAGAGTTTTTTGATGGACCCCATGTTGACGAGGGACATCGGGCAGGGTTTTTTTTTTTTTTAATGATTTTTTTTATTGATATGCTTAACATTCTGCCTGATGGCTGCCTATGCAGTGAGTTTGCTGATGTATTTATTTATTTTAGGTTTGTAGCTAAAAGGTAAGCATGCAGAAATCCATTATTCTGTAAACATCAACTTGCCCCGGAGCTAAATTGCATGTATGAGACTAATCTCGGTGTGTGCATCCACATTGCTTGAAGTAGGCACATGAATTGCAATTTCATGTCCAATGTGGTTATTTTATCCAATTTGTAGCCAATTTTGGAGCTTAATAATTAACCCCCACTGCCAGCTTTGTGTTCATAAAGGGCCCCTGTTGCATAAATATGCCACAGTGGTAGGTAAGATTTCAATTTAATATTTACATAGCTAGTAGTTGTACAGATTTCAAATTTTTTACCTTTGAACTTTGGTATATAATGTAAATGGCATAGATGTATAGCCTAAAGTACCCGTGTGCCTGTACACCTCTATTGTGCCAACCACAGTATCTTGTGTTAACATGCAACACTACATGTGACCCACAAGAGACACCCCAAATGAAAAAATTAGTTTAGAAAAACATCTAATCTGTACTTATGCTATTGATTTTGCATTCACAATTTTAAGCTTCATCACTACAGCAGAGGTGGAGGTTATCTGTTCCAGGAAGAGCCCTGTTTTTTTGTCAGACCACTTGAAAATGGCTTGAATGAAAACCGAGGAATGGTATATACCAGAATCAATAACATGATCTGTAGCAGTTATGGCGCTTAGAATGTGCCTCTAAATATTTCACCTAATCAATACATCACAGTTGTTCACAAAGACATTTAGACTGCCATGCATGCATTTAAAATGGACTTTTCTTTGTAGTACTGATAGAGAAAGTAGGCTGCAGATGCCATCCCCCAGTTCTAGGTCAAATGCTGAGACACCCATAGTTCACTGAGGCACTCACGGCCAATCACAATGCTAAGCCTACCAATGTTTTCTAAATATAGCAAATATAGTGAGATTGATATTGCTAATGTGGCAGTAACACTACAGCAAGTGGGAACAGTAACCCCAGTACCTCTTAAATCTCTGGTTTTGGTCAAACTAAAGCGGTTTGACCAAGTATCGGAGGGCTGCACCTGCACCCTTCTTGCACAATACCCACTTCAATACGATGTAGCAGTTATTGTGCTTAGTCTGCACCTTTAAGAGCTTTCTAACTATATGTATTTATTGGTATTTTGTAAATAAATACATATTTTTAAAATGAGAGTCTGTATGTCACAACCCACCAAAGTCACCAAACTCAGAACAAACAATAAACCATACAATGTCACAATGTCCTCATTGATAAGGACCAAGGTAGAATCATGAAGTGTGTAGTTTCAATATAGCATTGACTGCTTGCATGTCTATTTTAGTATACTTTCTTTTTTTTTTTTTTTTATGAAATAAAAGTTATTTACATAGAAGGTAATGCTGACACCGCAGTCATTTAAGCACAGCAGGAGGAGAAGTCAACCCAATTCAGTGTTTAAAATTTACTACTGAAAGGTCAAGACAGCTTAGTAAGCCTGAAAATTGTATATGCATGTGTGCCTCAGAAGATCAAGGCACGAAAAGAAATTGGAAATGGAAAGCAAATATTTAGCCATCAAAGTGAAATAAATAGAAATATTTTATATCTGGATCTAGACAATTCTGAATGAATTCTAGATTGTTACCTGTAAGGCAAACAAATAAATAGGAAAGAGTTTTTAGATGAAGGAGGATTTTCTTTTTTTTTCTGTGTATAATAATCCAATTTCTGCACACTGCACTCAACAGGCCCGGATTGGCAAATATCCCTCCAGCATCTCAGTGATAAAGACTGAAGACAGTGACAAAGATTTACTCACCTGTGTTAAAGAAGGGTTCACAATGTCTGCTTTAATATTCACAAAAATGAATAACACTGTAGCAGATTATAATTTTACATATCTCATGAATTATTTGGCACTGTCCCGTCGGTAGACATCAGTCAGTTCTCCGTCCGAAGCACAGTTTAGTCAAGCTTCACTTACGAGAAGTTGTATCTGGATCATTATAGCATGTGGGATCTGATGTGCAAGGCTGGAATAAGAGTCAATTTTGCTTGGTGCTGACAATTACGATGGTCCTAATTACAGAATATTATCGACTGAAAACACTAAAACAGTCATACCTTCAAAGAGTCATATATCTGTTGAAGGTGATTGATCCATTAAAAGAAAATTGCACTTATAAGATATAAAAATATTAAGGCATATCAACATCACCAGCCAGGACTTCAGTCTCCGAACACCCCTCAGAGTACCCAAAGAATCCACTCTTGGATAGGTAGGTGAAATTGCCCAATAAAAATAAAGATAACAATAAAAACAGTCAAACAATAAAAAAAATAAAAAAATTAAAAATACACCCCACATATTTTCTCCAGGCTTGGACCTCTTCAGGGACCTACACTCTGTAACAGCTCACAGAAGGAAATAATTCTATAGCTCTCTCTCATTTCCACTCATTCTTTCTCCCGCACTCTCTAATCTCTCTTCCTCATTTTCCCTTCTCCTTCTTAGTTCTTTTAACTTCATCCACCTTTATCTCCTACTTTGTCATTTCTGGTCTGTCATTTCCATTCTCTTTACATCAGTTACTCATATTGATCATTACCTCTTTAACGCTCTCCTTTCCACTCCCTCTTCTCCTTTCTCGTTCCCATTTAATCTATTTTTTCATCACTATTTCATTTGTGATATAACTTTCCCTTATACCTCAACTATGATCTACCACTTTCCCTGTTACACCCTATCATTTGTGATCTGTCACTCCCTCATTTGTCGTCAGTCTACACTGTGCTCTCTTATTTGTGATCTATCAGTTTCTCCTTTTTAGCTTTTATTTGGGATCTTTTCCTCTCCCCATCACACCTTATCATTTGTGATCTGTCATTCTCTCATTTGATGTCAGTCTAGACCTTGATCTCTCTCATTTGTGATCCATTGCTCTCTGCTTTCACACTGTCGTTTGATCCCTAACTAAGGTTCTATCCTTGTCACACACTCTGTCAATTTCGCTCAATTTAATTACCTCTATTTTGCTCCTAAGCCCAGTCTACATCTCCCTTTTTATAGTGTCTAAACAAACATAATGTATGAACAATTTGCGTATTAACAATCTTTTACAGGAAATAATAAAATTAATTTGCTTGCTCTATGTGTAAAATGTTGTCATGTCTGAGGAACATTCGACACTTGACATTGTTCTTT